CCCCGTGCTTGCTGCGATGCATCCGGTTGCTGCCTGATGCAGAGCACTCTCCAGTTGGTCTGGCGGCATCATTGCACCCCTTGTATCACTCACATGTGTGTACAGCTTCTCCACACCGCTGAAGCCAGTCGCCCGCTCGTGGTGCTCCTTGATCACTCGGGGCAGCTCCTCGAGCGGCACCACGGGGCACCACCGCCACTCTCCGCTGCGCTTGACGCAGCGGCACAGGATGTCCTGACCGCCAGCGCCCTTCAGCACCTGGAAAAACTGCAGCACCTTCTTGCTGTAGTTCTTGGCGCCGCCCTGCACTGCCGCCCCCCCTCCCGCACCCCGCCGCCGCCGGCCTGAGGGCGCCTGCTCGTCGCCCTGCTTGATCCGGATGATGCCCTCTACATCTGACTTAGTGAGAAACACATTCTTGGCGCCGTTTTGGCGCCGTTCTAAGGCATAAAGGATGACAGGTTGGTTCATAATTTTAAGTTTGCGTCAGCTGCGGGGTGCGGGAGGGGAGAAATAGAAGCCTTAGAGACTCTGAAAGGCGAAGGAAAGGGAGGGATCGCGGGAGAGAGCGTGCCTGATGAGCCAGACGAATCGGGGGAGGTGCCACATCAGCGGGCAACACATGCTCCGCAAGGCAACGCCGGCCGCAGCAAATGCTGTGCGACGGGCCGCGGCGCCCAGTCCACCACAGACCGTAGCACCGCGCACACACCACACACACGCAGACACCCTAGCGCACTGTAGAACACACACATGCGCACACCATAGCACACGCACACACCACACCACACATCACACCGCCGCTCCACCCCTGTGCAGTTTGATGCCACCGAGCGCAGGCGCTTCCCCTGGAGCGAGGTTGCCATCCTCGCGGCCTGGGGCGCCTGGCTGCCGCTGCTGCTGCTGCTCATACGGTTCAGGTGGGGCCGCGCCCTGTAGGCAGCGGGGGCCGCAACTAGCCGCGGCGGCAGCAGCAGGGGAGGGCGGCAGGCCATGGATAAGGATTTAGCTGGGAGTCTTGCCTGCCAGTGCGGTCGGCGGTGAAGGGCTGCACGCCTGTACAGACGAGCGTCCCCTCTACAGACCAGCGTCCCCTGCCTGCCTGCCTGCCTGCCGCTGCAGGACCGATTGGTACATCCGGCACCGCACGTTTGTGCTGTGCGCCCTGCGCCTGTGCCGCACATTCATGGGTGAGCGGAGGGGCTGCGTTGGCCGCCGCAGGCTGCCCGCTGCGAGCCGGGGCCGCGGCACCTGTTTTGGTGCTGGCGTTGTCTTAAAAATGGGTGTTTGTTTGGCGTCCGGCAGGCATGCCGCAGTTCCGCTACCACCACCGCCACAGCCACCACCACCCCCTGGCCTCGCTGCTGCCTGCAGTCATGAACACCCGGCTGCCGTGGCGCGAGGCCAAGTACATTGGCAGCTACAACGCCGTACCGCACACGCCCTGGCAAACGTACCTTCATCTGTACTGGAAGGTGGGGCGGCGGCTGGTGGCATGTGGCAGCGGCGTGCTTGGCAGTGGAGTGTTTGGGGAGCACCACGCCACATCTGACGCGCCGCCACCCAGCGCCCATCAGCCTGCCAACCTCCTCTCAACTCAGCCTCCCCCCGCCGCCCCACCTCCTGCTGCGCAGGCCAACCTGCTCTTCTTCGGGGCGGTCACCTTTGTCACGCCCATGCGCTTCACCATCCCGCTGCAAGTCGTGTCGCTGGCGGTGACGCTGGTGTTCACCGCGCAGCGCTGCCGCCTGGAGTGCGGCCTGCCCTCGGACACCCTCGCCTGGCCGCTGACCGCAGCCAGCTGGCCCGAGACGTGCGCGACGGCGGCGGCGGCCGCGGGCAACCTCGCCGGCGGCACGGCGGGCATGTGCATGGCGGCGGCACGCCCGGGCCTGGCCGAGCGGTACTACAGTACCGCGGCCTCCTGGATAGCAGGCCTCCTGCCCGTCCCGGCGGCCGCCCGCCACCTGCGCGCCCGCGCCTCCTGCCTGGCGCTCTGCATCTCCGTGCACGGCTGGCTGCAGGCAGTAGGCGGCGTGCTGGTACCGCTGGCGGTGCTGTGGGCGCTGGAAGAGCGGCTTCGCTGCCGTGAGGTGTCCACGCAGCGGCGGCAGTGGCGGGAGGCGCAGGGGCTGGAGGGCTGGCCCGGCGGCACCTCCGAGCCCTGCCGCCCGCCGCGGCCGCTCACCGCCGCCGCGCTGCTCGCCTGGCTGGCGTGCAGCGCGTGGCTGCTGTGGGTGGGGCTGGAAGCGCTGCTGCTGTGAGGCAGGGGGAGGCAGGCCTAATTGAAGACTCTGCTGCTCGCATACTCCATTCCTTTTCCCTTCTCGTCCGTTCCGTGCCTGTTTTCCTGTTTTCCTACATTTCCATTTGAACCATCTTTGCCTGTACTTTCCACCCGCAATAAGGTACCCGGCTGGTCCTGCGCACCCTGGCCCTTGCCTCCTGCTGCCCAGCCGCCTGCCCCGCTTTCGATCGCTGCTGACCTCTGAGCCCGCCGCCGCTGCGCCCGCGCCTTTCATCCGTACGCCTCGACTTTCATTCTTACACACTTGATCATCACAGCACAAGCAACAGACAGTGAGCGACGTTGGCCGCGGGGTGGCCAAAGGCCCCGCAGGCTGCTGGGGTGCCTCTGGCGTACAGCAGAACGTATCGGTGGGAAAAGACACTAGTAGCAGAAGGGAAGGGAGCGGTAGCAGGGGGTGAAGGGAGTGGGAGTGCGGGTTGAGGGAAGGGTAAGTTGCAGTGACTGAGGCGCAAGAGGCGTGCATTCAACGGCCGACATTGCATTCAACAACGGGCAGGTCCAAAGGCAGGGCAAAGCAAGGGAGAGGCGTTGGCAGGTGGCGCAGCCTGCTAGGAGGCGCGCAGGTGGAACAGGGCAGGCGGGTGCGGAATGAATGCAGCGGGTGCGCCGCGCAGCGCTGGCGGCGCATCACAGCTCAGACAGGGTACTGTTGGGGTGCCAAGAAACAGACGAACAGAAACAGGCGGAGCTCAAGAGGCGCGACGGGTAAGGCAGAAGGCGCGCAGCTCGGGAGAAACACAGGGCTGCGTACGGGGGCGGGGGAGGCGGGTGGGGCGAAGCGAGCACGAGGGCGTGCGCCGCTGCGCGGCAGCGGCGCGGTGGGCAGCTGACACATACGCCTCAATCAGGCGTCAATCAGGCTTCAACAAAGCTGACAAGGGAGGCGAAAAGGAGGTAGTAGAGGGAAGGTTGTGCACACCCCTCGAAGAGTGCGGTGGCTCTAGGTGGCGGCGGTACCGTCAGGCCAGGTGGCCCGTCACCAGCGCCACCCCCACGCCCAGCACCACGCCCGCCACCAGCAGCGTGGCCGCCCCGAGCACCGCAGGGTGCATCACCCGCTGCTGCCCATCCCTCATGGACAGCTCCGGGACGGGCAAGCCCGCCGCGACACCCAGCTTGCCGCCGCTGCCGCTGGCCTTGCCGCCGCCCGCCGCCTCGCCGGCAGCGCCGGGCTTGGCGAAACTGAACGGCTCGGGAGGGGCGAGCTTGCCGGCAAGAGGCGCCTCGGGGTCGGCTGTTGCGGCGGGCAGCGGCGCAGCCGTTGCTGCTGTCTCGGCCGCGGCCGGCGCCGGCGCCGCGTGCTCGGCGGGGCGCCAGCCGTCGGCGGCGGCCGCGGGGAGCAGCAGGCGGGTGAGCACGGGCCAGCGGGCGCGCTCCGCCACGTCCAGCAGCTTCCGAGCAGCTGCCGCCACGCGTGCGACCGCCAGCGGCGGATACTTGCGCTGCAGCGCCGCGGCGGCGGCGACCGCGTCTGCGGAGGCCCCAGCCGCCTCCCGATCTTCCAGATAGGCCAGCACCAGGCCTGCCAGGCGCAGCAGGGAGGCGGCCAGAGGGGAGCGCGCCACGGTCGCCAGCTCAGCGGCAGCGCCCGCCGCCGCGTCGGGCAGCACCAGCACCGGCGCCGCCTCGCCCACCAGCGCGCCTGCATTTGGGGCGATTGATTGGTGGCGGGTTGATGGTGGGGAGGGGCAGGCGCGGCACAGCACGAGCAGGCACATACATCGATGCAGGCGCCAGGCACTGGCAGAAGGGGCGGGCGAGCCGCCTCGAGTCAAGTTTGTTGATTCAAAAAGCCAGCCAGGCTCACCCTGGGACATCTCGAACTCGTACAGTCCCCAGCCCGGCTGCCAGAAGCTCGAAGCTGGCGGGCCCTCGCCGCCCTGCGGCGCCGCCGCGGGCACCCAGGCCTCCGCCTCTACCAGGGCCGCTGGCTCTGCCGCCGCCGCCGCCGCCATGCCCGCATCCTCCTCCTCAGCCAGGGCAAGCACCTCATCTTCATCCTCCTCCGTATCAGGATCCTCCGTGGTACCGCCCGTGGCGGCGCCATCCTCGCCGCCGTCTGCCTCCATACCTCCATCGCCTGCCTGCTCCTCCCCGAGGGGAGGCCAGCCGCCGGCCGCCGCTGGCAGGGGCACCTCCGCGCCGGGGGCCGCCAGGCTGACCGCCAGGTGGAGCCCGCCGCGGCGGCAGTGCAGGACCAGCGGCGGGGCGCCGGCACCAGCGCCGGCCAGCAGCGCGTGGGAGCACCGCAGTGGGAAGCGGCCGGCGGCGGCGGAGACGGTGGTGGCGAGCGGCGTGGCCAGGGCCACCCCCGTCGGCAGCGAGCCCGGCGCCAGCGGCAGGCTGAGCAGTACCGCGGGGCCGGCGCCGGCGGGCTGCGCCAGCAGGGCCGCGCTGGAGGCGCCCACCTGCGCCACCATGCGGCTGCAGGGCAGCTGCCGCGCCAGCGGCAGCAGCCGCGCCAGCGCCGCCGCAGCGCCGCCGGGCGCCTCCAGCTGCCACCGCTCCTCGCCGCTCAGCAGCGCGGTCAGGGTGAGGTGTACGCAGCCGGAGCGCATGGTGGCTTGCACGACTGTGTTGGGCAGGGCCAGAGCGGTCATCAGGTCGCCCCTCAGCTGGGCAGGCAGCTGCTCAGGCCGCACACCGTACAGCTGCACAGGCAGCGCGGGTGGAGGGAGGGACACAAGGCAGGGCAGGGCGCGGTGAGCAGGCACGGTCAGGCAGGCGCGCGGCCTCTGTCGGCGGCGGGCTGGCGGGCCTGCTGCCGCGCATCCGTGATAGCCGACAGCCCAGCCCAGGGCAGCCCCGCCACCCACGCCAGCCGCTGCCAGAGCGCACGCTGGTGGCAGGCGGGGAGGGGCCGGCAGCCGAGGCAGGGAGCGCAGCGCGGCGGCAAACGCAGCCGAGACGGCCGGCACACGCAGCAGAGACGTGCCTTGAAGCAGACTCGTGTCTCCTCCAAGTCGGTGGCAGCCAGGTCTGGAAACAGCAGCTCTTCCAGATCAACCTGCCCCTCCCCAGAGCCATCCAAATCCCCCAGCAGCTGCGCCGCCGCCAGCCGCTCGGCTGGCGTCAGCTGCGGCGTGGGCGAGGGCGCCGGCGGCGGCGGCAACGACGCGTGCGCCGGCTCGTAGGCAAAGGCTGGGTGGGGCGGGGTCATGGAGGCCGAGGGGGGCAGGCCCAGGCCGCCCTGCATCAGCGCCTGGTGCCACGCGCGCTGCTGCCGCTGCTGCAGCTCCTGCATCTGCGCCTGCTGCTGCCGCCGCTGCGCCACCAGCAGCGCCTGCTGCTGCTGCATCTGCGCCTGCAGCAGCTGCTGCTGCTGCGCAAAGCTTGGCCCCGCCTCCAGGCCGCCCCAGGCCGGCTGCGCCGCGTAGGGCGCCGCGCCAGCGGGGGCCGCGGGCGGCCACTGCGCCGCCGCCTGCGGGTGGGGCGAGGGCAGCAGCGAGGGCAGGCCCGCCTGGCCGGCGGTGCTCTCCAGGGGGGACGGCAGCGCCGCGGGGCCGCCGGAGCCACGCAGGATCGCATCCGCCAGGCAATCTGCGGCAGGCAGGGGTGCGCGGCAGGCAGGGGTGTGCGGAGGGCAGGGGTGCGCGGCAGGCAGGGGTGCGTGGCAGGAGGTGGGCGTGGCAGGAGGTGGGCGGGCGGGTTCGCACACACAGAAGACCCTGGAGCCAGGCCGCCGTGCAGCGCCAGCCCCTGCACGAGCCGCGCCGCCGCTCAGCCTCCCACCCAGCCCCCAGCTCCCAACACACCCAGGCATTTCCAAAACAAACCCAGGCCCTGATCGGCGTGCCCCAGCTGCAGCCACCGCCCAGCCCAGCCCAGCCCCAGCGCCCTCCCGGCGCCCTCTCCCCGCCCGTTCCGCTCACCCGCATCCATGGCCAGGAGCTGGTCCATCTCCAAAGAGGAAAGTCCGCCCACGGTGCCGCCGCCGCCGCCGGCGGAGACGGCCACCTCGGGCAGGTGTGCCACGGTGGCGGCGCTGGCGGCCGCGCCGACCGGCTGCGGGGCGGGCAGCGGCGCGAGGCCGGCCTGTGCCTGCGCCTGCGCCTGCAGCTGGCTGTGCGGCGCGGGAGGCTGCGGGGCGGGCAGCACCATGGAAGGCCCTGCGGAGGCCAGGCCTGAGGAGGCGGGGCCGGGGCCGTAGAAGCTGGCAGAGTGGTCTGACTGTGCCTGGGCGTGGGCGTGCGCCTGCGCAGAGGCCAGCCAGGCAGCCTCCACCTGCTGCACCCAGAAGGCCTGCACGCCGCCGGCGCCGGGACCCGGGAGCAGCGCCTCCGCCTGCTGCTGCTGCTGCTGCTGCTGGGTCCAGGCCGCGGCTGAGTTGGCGGCAGCGGCGGGGCCGTGGGGCAGCGTCCAGCCATTGGCGGAGCCATTGGCGGCGGCGCCACCAAGGGCCGCGGGCGCCTCCGCCGACAGTGAGGGCCGCTGCGCAAAGGCGATGGGCGAGTCGCCGTGCAGGCGCGTCACGCTGCCGCTGCCGCTGCCGCTGCCGCCGCTGCTGTTGCTGTCCGGCAGCTCGGTGGTGCTGCTGGGGCTCGCCCCCCCCCCCGGCGAGCGCCGGCTTGGCGGGCTTGGGCACGCGGCGCTGCCGTGCGGCGGCCGCGCCCGACGCCCCGCCGCTGCCGCGCTTGCCCTGCCGCCGCTGGTTGCGCCGGTCCAGGCTCACGCGGCAGCTGCGCCGCTCGCCGTCAAAGCTGCGGGGCCGGGCGGGTTTGGGAAGCGGTGCTGAGCGTCGGGAGGCCGCTGTGGCTCGGCACAGCGTACCGCGAGGGAGCCGCACCCCCACCACCCCCACCACCACCACTCTTTCTCTCTCTCTCTCCATCCAACTCCTGCACGAGCAGTCGGCATGGGCTCACCTGCTGAGCGGCTCCAGCTTGGTGCACTGCTGGCAGAAGCGGGACACGTGCCCGGAGGCGTCGGTGATGGCCAGCGCCCGGAAGTGCTCCTCTGCGTGGACAGGAGGAAAGGAGGGTTGGGAGGGTTGGGAGAGTGGGGCCACAGCGGGGTACGGGATTCAGGCGGAGGGCTGGAAGGTAGATTTTGGAAAGGAAAATTGTTGTTTTTGGGGGCACGGGGCAGGGCAAAGGGCCGGGGAAGCAGGAGGGGGAGGGGGAAGGGCTGGCTGGCTGCTCGCGGCCGCGTGGTGCTGTCCGGCGCAGGCGCCCGGTGCTGGCGGCGCACCGCAGATGTGCTGGCGCTGGTAGTAGGAGCGCAGGGGCAGCAGCTGCCGGGGGCAGCCCTCCACCTGCGGCGGCGGCAGCGAGGCGAGCGCCGGGAGAGGGTGGGAGGGTGGGAGGTGGCGGGGCGCCAGCTACGCGTGGTGCTGGCGAGCTGCACGCTGCTGGGCAGCCCCGCTGTCGGCAGGGCCTGCGGCGCGGCCAGCCCCCAGCGACCGTCATCCGGAACCCACCTGGCAGCAGTAGTTGGCGCAGCGCATGTTGGCGCGCTTCTTGGCGGCCGCCGCAGATGCGGTGCTGGCCTCGGCCTTGGCAGCACGCGGCCGTGCCGTCATGTCCACAGGGCTCCAATCCACAGCCTCCATACGCCACTCTGGGTCCGCGCCTTCGGTGTATGACATGGCTGGCTGGCCTCACGAAGCGCAAGGGGGAGAGCTAACGCGGGAGCAAGGGTTGTGGGGCGGTGGCGCGCGGGCGGCGCCTGCGAGGGCCGTCCCTGCGCCCCCCGCTGCTGGCTGTGCGCTGCGCGCGGGCGAGGCGGGGCCCGCCTGGCTGCGCGGGAGAGCCTGGTGCCGGCTGCACGGGCAGCCCGCGGCTCGGGGGAGTGGTTTGCTGCGAGGGGTGCGCCACGCTAAGTTGCTGGCTGGCCCTTGCAACGCCTGGAGCTGTGGGCGCCGTGTGACGGCTGCAGAATGGGCGTGAGGACGAGGCACAGGCCATGAATGAAGTAGCTCGGCCTGGGAACGCCACCTTCCACCCGGCCGAAATCCGGTCTACCGAACCCCGCGGTATTTCGAGCTGCAACAGGCTTGTGGGGTCATGCCCCGCCGAGGGGTTGGCCGCAGGGGCCGCGGGGGAGGGGTCGTGGGAGTCTTCCTTTCGGTCGGCAGCGAACACACCGCTGCGCAGGCCGCGTGCAGACGCCCAGCATTCTCAGTGAGCCGCTAATGTATACTTTAGATGATGAGGGGCCTGGCACAAGGGGGCGGCACTTGCCCGTCCCCCGCCGCCCAGCGGCACCGGCATGGACTGTTCACCCTGGTGTGCTGCGGATCGAGCATCAGCAGCGACGCGCTGGAAATTCATTGGTGATCCATTCTGAGTTCAGAATCACAGCCGGCGATCAAGCTAAGCAAACTTCGTTGCGCGGCGGGGCGCCCTGTCGAGGCGGTGGAGAAGCCAGCCCAGGTCGGAGCAGCCGGTTGAAACACTCGTTCCTCCCTTGCATTTCACGTATCCCAGGGGGCGTGCGTTTATTGTAGCCGCAGCAGCACGCTGGGGCTGGCAGATGCAGCATGTGACGGCGAGCCGTGGCGCCCATCTCGACTGTCTTGATAATGGTGCGCTCCTCTTTAAGTTTCCTGCTTCTGTAAAGCTGGCGCTGGAGAGTGGCACACCCTGATAGCAGGCCAGGCAAGCAGCGAGCTTGGTAGGGAGCGGCTCGGTGCAGAGTGCGCTGCCAGCACAGCGCCAGGAAGCCGGCCGGCGCGCCAACAGCGGCCGCCGCGTGGTGCAGGGCTGCGCCGGCACGTCTCCATCCCCATTCCACCCGCACCATGCACGGCAAAACCAATGAACTTAGCATGCCGCTCCTCACAGTGGCAGGCATCCTGGCCAATGGGCTCAAGCGACGGTCAGCGGGCAGGGCACCCTCCCGCCGGCGGGGAGGCGTCACGGCGGAGGCGGCGCCAAATCCTGGCGAGCCCAAGTGATGTAGCGTCGCTGGTTGGTTGCTGCCCCTGCATCGCATGGAACAATTGTGACCAACCAGAACCCATCTGAAACTTTCAGTCTGAAAGGTGGCGGCACGCTGAGCGCGCTGCGCCACTGCGCATTGACAACTTAGTTGCAACTGGTATGGATGGCCCCAGGGGCCGCTCGCGTGTGCTTCCTCACGTGGGCCACGGCTCTTTGACATCAGGTGTTTGTGTTGTGGGGCGATCGTCGCGGGCTCGGCGGGTGCGCTGGGGGGTGCTGCAGAGCGCCCTTTTGGTGGAGGGCTGACTCTGGGAAATGCGCGCGCTTCGCTGCGCGACACGGGCGGCTGACTTGACCTTCCCGCCCGACAGCTATTAACAGAATGCACCGCCGCCGGCCCGTGCAGTGCTCAATTCTGGAGGGCAGCAGCACAGCTGCCATCAGGCCCTTTGCCACACATCCGAAATGGCAGCAGCCAGCACAATCCGTGCGCTGGTCAAACGCCTGCGCAGCGGCGGGCGCAAGGCAGCGGAGGCAGCCCGAACGCTAGCTGACCTCTCCGCCAGCAACGCAGACAACAGTGCCGCTATCGCTGCAGCTCTGGTGGAATGCTGCGGCTGCAGCAGCAGCGAGGGATTGATGGAGTCAGTAGTCACACTTATGTTCAACATGTCTGCAGACGGCACCAACAGCCTTGCAGCCTTTGCTGAGGCTGGCGCCGTTCCTTTCCTGGTGCAGCAGCTGTGCAGCAGCGGCAGCGAAGTGGTGCAGCACCAGGCAGCCGCTGCGCTGAGCAATTTAGCCCACGGCAGCTCTGCAGGCAGGGCAGTCGTTGCAGCCGCCGGCGCCATACCAAGCCTGGTGCGCCTCCTGGGCAGCAGTAGCAGCGTGGAGTTGCAGGTGGAAGCAGCTGGGGCACTGTGCAACCTGGCTCACAGCCCTAGCAACACTGCAGCCATCGCAGCAGCGGGCAGCATCCCCATACTGGTGCAGCTCTTGCGCAGCAGCGGCAGCGAGTCTCTGCAGGCGGCAGCAGCCCGCGCACTTTGGAGCCTCGCTGGAGACTTGTCAGACTGCAGGGCAGACATTGCAGCCTCCGGCGCCATCCCAATCCTGGTGCAGCGCCTCAGCACTAGCAGCAACGAGCACGTGCAGCTCACCGCAGCCGCGGCGCTCTCCAACCTTTCTGTTGACGGCGCTGACAACCAGGCCGCCATCACGAGCGCTGGAGCCATCCCTGTTGTGGTGCAGCGCTTGGGCAGCAGCAGCACCAGTGAGGAGGTGCAGGCGTTAGTAGTATGCTTGCTTTGTAATCTATCCTGTGGCAGCCATGAAGTTAAGGAAGCCATCGCAGCAGCCGGCTGCCTCCCAGTCCTGGTGCAGCGCTTGGGCAGCAGCAGCAGCGAAAAGGTGCAGCACAGAGCAGCCAGGGCGCTGAGGAATTTAGCCCATGGCAGCCCCTCCATTAGTGCAGCCATCGCAGCGGAGGGCGCCATCCCTGTGCTGGAGCGCCACATGAGCAGCAGTGGCAGCGAGAAGGTGCAGACACAAGCAGCCATAGCGCTTGCAGCGCTTTCTGAGAACAGAAAGCACATGGCCGCGCTTACAGCAGCTAGCGACTTTGCAGCACAGCTCAACGTGTTTGACGACGGACAGCCGGAGGCAGCTGTTGCAAATGCACCCGCAGCGGCAGGCAATCAGGCATTCCCAGCAGCCGACGCAGAGGAGGCGGCTGCGGTTCCAGCAGAGGCAGTAGCCCCTGCTGCGCGTGCCGCGCCAGTGCCTGGTGCCATGGCGTGCGCTTTGGAGGGCTGCGGCAACACACGGCGCCTGCGCCGCTGCCATCTGTGAGCCGTGCCGTGGGTGGCGTTGGGCCCTCAGAGTTATAGCAGCCCCCGGGGTGGGTCTCAGCCTTCCTTGCATGGCGCCCTTCGCAATGCGCTGTGCTGCGTGCTTTCCTGACTGCAGGTGCCTGACTGTGAAGTACTGCAGCGAAGCCTGCTGCGAGAAAGACTGGCGTGCTCACAAGCCCGAGTGCCGGCGCCTGCGTGCGGCGGCGGCGGCTTACTCTGCCGCTCCACCTGCCGCTGCAGTGCCATCAGAAGGCGGTGCGCAGCGGAGGGGTGTGGCAACGGGCGCAGCCTGCTCCTCTGCGCCGGGCAAGGAGTGCCCTGGGTTGCAGTGTCAAGAGAGGAGTTGATCAGCAGCCCCTGGGTGAGTCCCAGCTTCCTCTGGCATGTTCGTATGCAATCCGCTGGTCTGCCGCCAACTGCCTGCAGGTGCCGGTCTGTGCGGTGCTGCAACAAGGCCTGCCATCGCTCCCAGTGGCCCACCCACAAGCCCACGTGACGGCGCCTGAGTGCGGCTGCAGCTGACCCACAGCCCTAGCCTGCAGCGTGTCTGGCCCTGCCCCGGCAGCTGCTGTGTGGGCGGCCCAGCAGCGGCGATGGCGGGCGGCCAGCACGGTACAGGGCTGTGTGGGGAGCGCAGGGCGCGGGGCGCGCGTCGGCAGCAGCGCCGTCCAGCCTGCAGACGCGGCCCGCTGCCGTCCAGCGCTGGATGTGTCTGCGCGGCACAACTGGCAAACTTTGCTTGATACTTACAGCAGAGAATAGAGACTAGCTGCAGCAGAGAACAGTGCAAGAAAAACTGTTTGAATGTACTATGATTCACACTCCAATTCTCTCTCTGTAATTCGACTTCGTGTGTGACTATTGCTGGCACCGGCTGGACCATGCCTATCCCAGCCTGACGCTGGTTGATGAGGCCGCGGGCTCAGAGCTGCCGCTCCGGTGACGACTCCCGCCGTCTGCCGCCGCCACCGCCCCCCTTGGCCAGCTGCTCGTACGGTGGCGCAGCCACAAACAGGCACCGGTGCTGGCGGCAGTGCCTCATCAGCTCCTGCGCAGCAGCCGCAGCCAGCCGCACAGCATATGGGCAAGCCGCTGCGGCACTTGCAGGCATGCCCGGCCAGCAGGCTCCGCGCCAGCCTGGGCCACAGGTGGCGGCGTGCGGCCTCCCAACCGCCCCACCAATCCCTCCCACTGCCACCCAGCCGACGACCACTCTGCCAGCTGGCCCGGCGGCTGCCACCCCGAGGAGCACATGCTTCACAGGCATGCAAGCAACGCAGGCAAGGCAGCGGCGGCGGCAGCAGCCACCCCTCCCACCTGCCACGGCTCACAAGCTTCCAGAGTGGCGCTGTGCCCGATGACCCACAGCGAGCGCCTGCCCCGCGTCAGCGCCACGTTCATGCGGCGGCAGTCGGCCAGGAAGCCCACGCCGCCGCCGGAGCCCGCTCCGTGCGCCCTGCGGGGCGGGGCGGGCGCAGCGGTGGTTGCGTGCAGATGGGGCAAGGGGGAGGCACCGACCTTGTCAGAATGGGGGCGAGCAGCGGCATGCAGCCTCTCTCAGAGCCCAAGTCTGTGGGTGTTGGTGCTATCTGTCAAGCCAAGCTGGCAGACGCGCATGTTCCCTCATGCAGCGATGCTCCCAACCCACCCAACCCTCCCTCCCATCCAGCCGCCGCCCCTCACAGCGAGGCTGCCAGCCAGTGGCTGGCTGGCTGGGCAGCCTCGGGCCAGATGCAGGCTAACCGCCGCCCTCTCGGCATGCAGGCTGGCCAGCTGCGCCCAGGGGCAGCTCCCCCACCTGACGCAGCTGAAGATGACAACATCTGCCTCCCTGCCCTGGAAGCCATCCACGGTGGCAAACTGTACCGCCTCTGCGGCGGCGGTACCGCCACGCTGCTGGAAGGTGCGACGCAGCTGTGACAGCTGGGCCTTGTAGGGGGTCAAGACCGCCACGTCGCCCACGTCTTGGCGGTACCGCCCCACCAGCTCTGCATGGGCAAGCGGTACCACACACACAAAGGGCGGTCGGCGACGGCCCTGGCATGGCATCAGCCCACACCGCTTTACAAGCACTTCCACGCAAATCGGGGAAACAGCTCGGCGGCGGTACCAGCAGCTTCCCCACACGCGACATGGCCAGCACAAACCTGCATACAGCACATACGCCACCTCTGCCTCCTCGGTGTTGCTGACGGAGCTGCCACCGCCACCGCCCCACTCGCGGCCCTGGCAGCACGGCAAGGCGGGAGGGAGAAGGTGGAGCGGCGTGATGAAAGAAAGGAAGGCATGCGAGGGGTGGTGACTTGCTGCGACTCCTCAAGAGCCAGAGGCTTGCAGGTAGGCGCCCCGCCCACCTCTCTGCAGTCCCAAAAGGCGAGGGGCGGGAGGCAGGGGCGGTCGTGCCAGGGCGCGGTGCGGCCGCCGCCGGCGCCTGCGGAGCCGCCGCCTGCCACGGCGGCGGCGTCCAGCAGCTTCCCGGAGTAGAAGAAGCTGGCGGGGAAGGCGGAGATGGCGGGGTGCATGCGGTACTGCTGGCTCAGCAGGCACAGCGGGTATCCCGCCTGCACAGCACGCACACCATGGCGCCATGCCGCATCAGGTACGAAGATGCGCAGCCACGACGATGCAGAGAACCTCATGAGCGAGGGCTACCAGCCAGGCGAGACACCGGCGCCCACATCAGAGGAGGACACACACACACATGCGCACATGCACACGCGCACACACATGCACACACACGCGTACACACACATGCACATGCACACGCACACACGCACGCACACACACACATGCACACACCTGCATGAGCCGCTCGAACAGCGACTGCGCCAGGGCGGCCGCCGCCGCGGCGCGGGACACCACGGTGGCGGGCAGCTGCTGCGGGTCGCCCACCAGTACCAGGCGCCCGCCGGGGGCCAGCAGCTGCAGCGCGATGAGCGTGCTGGGCTCCAGGGCCTGCGCGGTACCAGCCAGGACAGCAGGCAGTACAATCGGGCAAGGTGGAGCAGTACAATCGGGCAAGGTGGAGCAGCAGGCGGTACAAAAGGGCGAGGTGGGGCCACCAGGAGACACACACGGCAATGCCAAGCACAAAAGGTGGGGCCCACAGAAGGGGGCTGCGGACCGGTGGAGCCTGGCACCGGCGTGGAGGCGTGGCAGGGACTGCAGCTGCCAGCCGCTCGCTGCACCAGCCGAGCCGATCCAAGCCAAGCCAAAGCCAGGCACAACCTGGCTGCCAGCCAGCCAGCCAGCCACCCCCACCTGTGCGGCCTCATCGCAGATGATAGCATCGAACCCCAGCAGCGGAGCGGCGCCCCCGGCGGCGCCGGCGCCACCTCCCGGGCCGCCGCCCGAGGCGGCACGCGGCATGAGCTGCAGCAGCTCGCCGCCGGCGCTGCTCAGGGTGGCGGCAACCACCTCGGACTGCGGAGGGGCCGAGGGCGGGGTTGGCGGAGGGTGGGGGAGCCCCGAACGAACACCGGGCAGGGCAGGCAGCAGCTGAGCATGATGCGCAGCGCTGGAGAGGCAGCAGAGGGTCAAACCGGCGGCTGGCAGGAGAGTGACACTAGCAGCACACATCTATCCCAGCCCAAACACCTGCCCCTCAGCAGTCGCCCCGCACCTGCGCAACCACCGCCGCGCGGAGCTCCTTGTGCCGCCCCGCGGCGGCGGAGGAGGAGGCGCGCAGTGCGCCAGCCGCCGCTGCCGCCTCCCGCTTGAGCTGCTGCTTGCGCTGCAGCAGCGGGCCCAGCTGCTGGCGCACCTCCTGGCTGCTGGGGCCTGCGGCCAGGGCTGCAGGCTCTGCAGACTCTGCCTCGCCCCCTGCTTCCGCCTCCACTCCCTCGCTGTCGCTCTCACTATCGCTCTGACTCCCTGTGTCCATGCCGCTCCCGCCGCCATCGTCGCTGTCCCCATTCTCCAGCCGCCGCCGCCGGCTGGGGAGTGGCTCGCCTGCCCGCCGCGGCTGCCCGCCCGCGCCCGCCCGCGCCAGCCGCCGCCTCTTGCGCTCCCGGCTCGCCTCCACGACCTCGTCACATGCGTCGATCTGCTGCTGCAGCGCGCGCAGCTGCTGCCGCAGCGCCTGCAGGCGGCTGGCTAGCTGCGAGGACTGGCCTGCACACGTGCAGAGGCAGGCAGGCAGGCAGGCAGGCGGGCAGTTGGGCAGGCAGGCAGGCAACAGGACCAGGGCGTTCAGGGGACACTGCAGCGTTGGCAGCAGCTACACCCGCCACACTGCAAGTGTGCCCTCCTCCCTTCCGCCCTCCCCTGCGTGCACACACGCGCCGCCGTACCAGCGCCCGGCAGGCAGCGCCCAACCCTGCACACACCTGCCGCATCGCCCAGCCCCACATCTGCCGCCTCCATGCCCGCCGCCAGCGCATCGATGTGGAGCACCGCGGCATCCGGCCCCACAGCCTCCAGCGGCCCAAAGCGCACCACGGTCGCCTGCCGCTGGCTGCCGTCCCTGCTTGCGGCGGGCCCGGGGGCGGCGCATGGTGGCCACGTGTCAGCACAGGGGTCAGGCCAAGGCGCAGGGAGGTGGGGAGCGGCATGCACGTGAACATGCGGCGGCGGTGGGGGTGCTGTGGTGCCGGCGGCGGCAGCGATGATGCACCAGGTGCGCTTGGTGCGCCTGCGCCGCATGGCGGTCCAGCAGCACGACAGCGTGGGCAGCAGGCATCCCACCTGCCCACCACACCCTTGCTGGCCAGCCGAGTGCACAGCTCATCCACCGCGGCATTAGACTGGGCTGCCAGCAGCACACGGACTGCTGGGTTCATCACCGCCGCCGCCTTCTGTCTGGCCGCCGCCGCCGCCGCCACCGCCGGCTGCTTGGTGCCGCCGCTGGCCGCGCCGGAGGCCGGCTTGATGGCGGGGCGGGCCTGCGCGTTGCCAGCCAGGAAGGCGGAGAGCATCCCCAGAATGGCAGAGGTCTTGCCGGTGCCGGGAGGGCCCTGCACCAGGACTACCTGCTTCCCTCCACGCTGCTGCAGCTGCTGCTGCTGAGCCGTCGCCGCCGCAGGCAGCCGGCCTGCGCCGCCAATCTGCGCGCTCCCCATGCCTACCGTGGCCGGCCCGGCGCGTGCGGCGGCGGGCTGGTAGCCTGCCGCCGCGGCCGCGATGGCTGCCTGCTGGGAGGTGTTGTACTGCTGCTTAAGGGCGAGCAGCATGGGGGCCGGGAGCGGCGGCTGGATGGCGGAGAGCGATGGCTGAGAGCTGCTGCTGCTGGCAGAGGCGGGCGAGGTGGTGCCTGGGGACAGCAGCTCAGCCAGCAGCAGGGGCTGCAGCTTCTGGGCGGCTACCAGGGCCTGCAGCTGGCGCAGGTGCGGGGTCAGCGACATGAGGCGTACTGCCTGCCAGGCCGTGCCGGGGGCCAGCTGCTGCTGCAGCAGCTGGTGGCCAGTACCGCCGGTACTGCCACCGCCGCTGCGAACGCTGACTCGGGCCGTCAGCAGCAGCTGCCGCTGCCGCGCAGGCAGGCCCTGCTGCTGCCGCCGCTCCGAGGGCTGCTGCTGGTGGATCGACTCCACGGCGGCGAGCGCCACGGCCGCCACAGGCGCCGGTACCGCCGCCAGCTGCCCTCCTCCTCCGCCGCCGCCGCCGCCGCCGTCGCCTGCTGCTGCTGCTGCTGCTGCTGGCACTGCTCCGCTGCTGGGCCTGCTGACCAGCAGCAACAGATCCTCCGCTCGGATTCCGCTGCTACGCCGGAAGTCTGCCACCGACTGGGGCTGCCCCTGCTGGCCGCCGCCCGCTGCCCCCGCCGCGCCTGCCGCCGCCGCCGGCCCCGCTCCCGCTGCTGCTGCGGGCTCAAGGCGAAGCAGGTGGAGATCAGACTGGCGCTGCACCTCCAGCAGCCTCAGCGGTACCGCGCCAGCAGCCCCGAGCGCCGCAGCAACCTCGGGCCAGCCGCCGGCGGCCGCGGCGCCGGCGGCTGGCCCGCTGCGCCTGCCGCTGCTGCTGGCCCTGCCTGCGCTGGTGGCGCAGATGGCAGCTGCGGCCGGGCTTTCGTCTGCTGCCTGCTGCAAGTGGGCGCGAAGCTCCTCCAGAAGCAGCGCGCTAAACACCTGCAGGGACAGGGCGAGAACCACCCAGGAAGGCCAGGCCGGTAAAAAGAGAGGTGCGTCCCCGCCCACCCACCCAGCAAAGACCCTGTTGGGCATGCCAACAAGGCCTGCTGAGACAGGATCGCAGCGCCGCACTTCCTGGCCGTCTCACCCGCGTGTACTGCTGCAGGCTGCCGAAGCGGACCGGCACTTTCAGGCCCTGCAGGCCTGTACCGCCTGTACCGCCTCCAGCGAGGACGCTGCCCAGGTCCCAAGCCAGCAGCTGCTGCAGCAGGCTGTCCATTGTGAGCAGGGCGGCGGCTGCTGCAGCCTGCTGCCGTGCCGCGCCCAGCGCCGCGCGCCGCTGCTGCCAGAGCGGCACCGGGGCATTGGCGGCGGCGCCGCGGGCACCACGGCGGCCCCCCGCTGCGCCCGATGGGGGCGCAGCCAGGTGGACTATGCGCCGCACAACAGCCGGCTGTGGCTGCTGCTGCAGGTGCAGGCGGGAAGGCACCGGCGCGCCTGCACCAGACCCCCTTGCTGGAAGCGGAGGCAGGCCTGCAAACAGCCCTTCCTCCTCCTCTACTAGGCCCACACTGTGCTGCAGACCATTAATGCCGGAGGTGCCCCGAGGCAGAGCAGGAGGGCGTGGGGGCTGGGGCTGCGCTGCAGGCGCCTGGCGCCGCTCCTGCTGCTTTGCTGGCGGCGGTACTGGCTGTACCGGCGGTCGTGGCGGTGCACCCTCCTGCTGCCTTTTGGGTATCCTGAAGGCTGCCCCGCCGCTCGCACCGCCTGCCTGCAGCGTGGCTGCCTGCCCCTGCTGCTGCTGCTGCTGCTGCCGCCGCCTGCCGTCTGGGCGCTCGGGGCTGCCGCTGCGGCTGCTGCTTTTGCTCCTAACCCTACCACTCGCTGCAGGCTGCCTCATCCTGCTGTCGTCGGGTTCGGGGCTGGAGCCGCGGCTGCCGCCCCGGCTCCTGCCTCCTGTTGCTGCGGCATCCGCTCCTGCCCTGCTTGCTGCGGCTGCGGAGCCAGACTTTCCACCCGGCTGTGGGGCAGCACTGCTGGCAAGAGCGGGCCGCCGGGCAGGCCAGCGGTCGGGCCAAAGCTGATCTATGTCTATCTCTGCCTGCGGCTGCTGCTTCGCCCCACCTGAAGCATGCCGTGCTGCAGGCGGCTGCTGCCTCGATGGCGCCGCCGCTGCCGGCTGGCGCTGGCCCCGGCGCGGCTGGGCTTGGGCTGCCTGCGGGGCAAGGGCCCGCGCCGGAGCCTGGTGCTGCCGCTGCCGCTGCTGCTGCTGCTGCTGTGCCTGGTGGGGGGCGGAGGCTGCTACCGCTGGTACCGCCCTGGAAGGCCACTGCGACGGCCACAAGCTCTCCACATCTATCGCATCTGCGTCTGCCTGCCTCCCACCTGCCTGCGGCTGCTGCCCCTGCCGCTGCGGCGCTGGCTGCGTCTGCTTGGATGGCCACTGCAGGAACCACGGTCCCTCCGCCGCCTGCTGGCCCACCTGTGCTGACCTGGCAGTCTGCCCGCTTGGAGCCGCTCCTGGGGCCTGCCTGCTTGCGCTGCCTGGCTGCTGGTACTGCTGGTACTGCCTAGGAGGAGAATCGGTAAGATCCACAATGTATGCTGCTGCTGGCGCTGGTGGTACCGCAGGCGCAGGTTGACGTGCCGGCGCCGCCGCTTGTCCTGCCATCGTCGCCCCGCCTGCTTTCGAGGGCGGCAGCACGGGCCAGCCACGGGCGCCGGCCGGCCTGGGCCCCGCCTGCGGCGCCGCCTGCTGCTGCCGCGCAAACGGGTTGCCGCTGCCCCGGCCCTGCTGCGCCGGCGGCGCGTGCTTGCCCTGCGGCCGCAGCAGCGGCTGGAGCAGCTCCTGGCATGCCGGGTGCAGGCGTGCCAGCACGGAAGCTGCAGAGGCTGCCGAGCCCTGCCGGGTGGCGGTCATCGCAAACTCCTCTGCTGCCGCCCTGAGCAGCAGGTTGGGAGCCAGCACCAGCCGTGCCACCGCCATAACCACCTGAGGCAGCCACTGCTGCGGGTCGGCGGTCCAGTGCCGGGGCGCGGCCGCGGCGCACTGGGCGGTGACGTGAAGGCCCGCGCGGCGGCAGCGCACGGTCAGCAGGGCCAGCTGCTCTGCAGCTGCCTGCTGCAGCTGCTCTGACAGGAAGGTGGGGCCACGGCTGATGGGCACGGCTGCGGGGCTAGGAGCGGCGGGGCCTGCAAGCGCAGCCAGCAGTGAGCAGACAAATGCACAAACCATGCAGCCAGCAGTAGGCATACAAACCAACAAACCGCGCAGCAGCAGCAGCAGCGCCAAACCACCACCAGCAGATGCATCATCGCCACCAGCAGCAGCAGGCAGTGGTTGCTGCCCCAGCCCGCCTGCCGTCAGCATATCTGCGGCCAGGAACCGTCCCCTCAGCGCTTGAGATGGCAGCAGCTGCTGCGCGGCCTCTATGTCGCTTGCAAGGCTGCTGGTAAGGCCCGATGCAGCAAAGCCTGCGGGGGCTGGCCGGCCTGTGGCGGCATCGCTCGCACTGCCCGGGGCGCCGCCGCCGCTGCCGCCGCTCGTGGCCAGGGCAGCCGCGGCTGCCAGCGGCAGCGAGGCGTCGTCTTGGCTGCCGCCGCCGCCGCCGCTCTGCGTGAGCGCCTGCCAGAGAGCGGGCAGGCACTGCCAACGCCCCGCCTGCTGCGCCGCTGTTGCCGCCACATCTGCGACAGCTGGGTCCTGCATGCCTGGCAGGTCGGCACAAGCGCTGCTGGCGCTGCCTCCCGACGCCGCCACAAGTGCCGCCACCTCGCCGCTCAGGAGGGCCGCCAACAGCTGGCGGGCTGCCTTGTCTGCCGCAGCATACAGCGCCGGGCTGCGCCGGCGCGGCAGGCCGCCCTCGCCACCGTCATGCGCCTGCAGGCCTGCGCACAGCGGCGGCAGCCAGAAGTGTGCGCAGGCAAAGGCGGCGGCGGCGGGCTCGCCGCCGCACTGCAGCAGCTGGAGCAGCGTGCCAAAGGCGGCGGCCTCGGCAACAGCTGCTGCCAGCTGGGTGACGCGGCTACGGCCGGGCTGCCCAGGCTGCAGCTGCTGCTGTTGCTGCTGTTGCTGCTGCTGTTGCTGCTGCTGTTGCTGCTGGTGCTGCTGGTGGTGCTGGTGTGGCGGTGGATGCACCCCTGCCGCCGCCTCCGGGACGTCATGTAGCAAGAAGAGCAGGCCAAGCCTGAGAGCAGGCGCCGCCTGGGCGCCGCCGCCGGCAGCGGCGTGCCGCATCGTGGCCCCCACCGCCTCCGCCACGCCCTTGTACAGGCGCTCGCTGGGGCTGGCACGCGCTGCCGCTGCCAGCTGCCGCACCACCGCCGCCGGGTCCGCCGCTGTGTGGAAGAACGCCTCGTGGCCGGCCGCCGCCAGCAGGTGCGACCAGCAGCCCGCCGCAAACCAGCGGCACAGCTCCGCCTCCTGCTGCGGCATGCCTGCGGCGGCGCCGCCGCCGCCGCCAATCCCTGCCAGGATTGTGTCAGCCAGCAGCGGCAGCTGCGGCAGCGCCGCGGCGGCCGCCTCCCTGCCCAGCAGCGGCAGCAGGCCGTGCAGCGCGCGCCAGAGTGCCACCGCCGGCGGCGCAAACCGCGGCCTGCCGTCGGCTTCCGGGAAGCTGCCAGGCGGCTGCCCCGCCAGCAGCTGCACCCAGCACTGCAGGGTGGGCAGTACTGCCTCCACAGCCGCTGCATCGCCAAAGGGGCCCCAGGAGCGAACCATCTCAGCGGCCTGCTCAGGCAAAGAAAGGGAGATGGGGATAACTCGCACAGTGTGTGCCTTTATCACAAGGGATACCACTCCCTCCACATGCGAGGAGCGAGCCAGGCGTGGCAGGCCGCAGCACAGCCCGCCCCGATGGATTTCGTGCAGCAGGCAAGCGGAAGCCACAAAGGTGGCTCCCTCCTCCTCCCAGCACTGGGCCCCTGCCTGCCTGCCCAACACTTTGCAGGCTGACCAGGCTGGTGCCCGACTCACCAGGCGGCGGGCGGCCGGGTCTGGGTGGGCGAGCAGGCGGTACGCTCCAGGGTACCGCGCATCGGACCCGGGCTCCGCCAGCGCCAGCTCGTACCGCGAGCTCAGCGCGCACAGCGCGGCCGCCAGCCCGTCCGCCACCTCAGCATCTGCGGCGAGCGGCAAGCGTGTGGTAGGCACGCGGCGGCATGCACGCAGGTGGGGCATGACCGCTGGCAGGAAGGGAGGAGATGTGCTGCGCGTCCTGAGAGGGAGCGTGGCGTGGTAAGCAGGGGTTGCCAGGCTGGGCCGGCCCCAGACGCTCAGCATGCAGCACCCAGAGCCCTTTGCTGCAGCTCAGGCCAGGGCAGGGTCAGGTCCATCCTCCTCCCGTCACTGGCCGGCCTCTCCTGCGCAGCCTCTCACCCTCCAGCAGAGAATCGTAAGTGAGGGCCTCAAACAGGCAAGTGATCATCTCCGCCGGCAGCTGCCCCTGCTCGCCGCCGCTCTGGTCGTCGCCCAAAGCCTGGACCGGGGACGGGATGCGGCGTGTGAAGGTCCCGCTCACCCAGCACACAGCAGGCGCAGCGCGGGATGGAGCGGCCCTGCTTCAGCGGGTAGCCAGAGCCTCGCAGGCGCAGGCGCGTCACCTGCTGCGCCGCAGCTGCCAGCGCCGCCGCCAGCCGGGCGCAGTCAAGGGAGCGCAGGGCTGCCAGCAGCGGCGCCGCGGTGCCCGCGCTGAACTGCTCGCCGTAGGCCTCCTGGCAGGCGTGGTGCATGTTGACGCAGTCGGCGCAGGCCGCCAGCTGGGACGCCAGCTGGCGCCAGATGGAGCGCACCAGCGGCTGCTGCTCGTGGTAGCGCAGCACCTCAGCCAGGCCTGTGGATGGGCGGTGGGAGAGCGCACACGTGTTGGGAGCGGCGTTGCGGTTTTGCCGGCGCTGCTGCCGGGCGGTGTGGTGTGGCAGGCCCGTTTCATGCCCTTGGAAGACCCTCTCACCCGCAGTGACGTCGCCATGCTGGCACCACCAGTGGCCGGTGCAGGCCTGGAGGAACCGGAGTGCATCAGCATACCAGGCCTGCTTGTCCGCCGGCGGCGCAGGCGGGTCCGCTGTCTGCAGGCGCCACAGCCGCTCCACCAGCCGCTCCTCCTCCTGCTGGGCCGCCGGCGCCTGGCCCACGCCTTCTACGGACCCCGTGTCGCTCATGTGGGGCACGCCGAGCCCCCGCCCAGCGCTCTCACTGGTTCCATGTTCGATCACCCAACGCCGATCGCCGGGGAGACAATCTTGGCCTTGTTTGCACTCTTGGCAAATGCAGTGAGGCTGCGAGTTACCGTTGACCTGTGGGGCTCGCTGAATCCAGTGTTTCTGGCCCTCGGGCAGCTTTGGCGATGGGCGGGCGATGAGGACTGCTGGTCGCGTCAAATTTCGCCAATCAGCTGGCGATGGCACATTGAGGATTGGCGAAATGCGGGGGAGCCACCCTTGCGCCTGGCACAGCGCAGCGGCCACATGCGGCGCCGCTGTTGCTTTGTCGGCACTTGCCTCCCTTTTGGGGGACTGGGGGCGAAGCCCCCAGCAAGCTGGCGCTTGTTTAACACTATGGAGTGAAGTTCCTGAGGAAAATTGGCCATTTCTCCTCAAAATATTGGCGATGTCAGTCATGGGGGCTGGCGACGCGCTGGCGATGTCGCCCCGCCGCCTGCCCTCATTTAGCCAGCCCTGGCTGGCGATGGCCTTCGGCCAATCGCCAGCCAGAGCCGTTTTTTGGCCCGATTTCGCCAGCATTTGGCGATTTCGCCAGCTTTCAGAAACACTGGCTGAATCCCTGCCAGGTGCCAGGTGGCAGCGGCGGAGGGGAATTTCCGCTCTAGACAGTGCACCCTCCCTCTCTCTCCCCGTTTGTGTATGGGGTCTTCACCTTGTCCGGCTACAGCACCACAGATGGGCCCGTAGCATTCATTTGCTCCTTATGGGTGTAACAGATGTGGGTGTAACAGACGGACAGACAGACAGACACTGGCAGATGCACAGACAGACAGACAGCCATGCATGCATGGCTTGAATGTGGGGTGGGGTCGGCAGCGCACACAGCAGCAGCAGCGTTGGTGCATCGTCATGAAGTATCCTCATGAGGGGCAGATGAGTTCGAGGACTCAGACTCTTGTCTTGATTCTCGGCAGGAAAGCCAGCTTGGGTGTGGTCACGGTCCAAGGAACGGTGGCAGTGTCGTCCCAAAGCATCGCGGCTTCCCAGCAGTGTGGAACGCCCGATACCTTGTGCATACGGGCGGCGGCCCTACCCCACCGGCGTCTTGGGCAGCACCGTCACCTGCCTGGCAAAGGCGTAGCGTCAGACGCCACTGTTCTGGATTGTGCTCTTCAGCTGGCCCTTCTTCATGAGCTGGGAGGCCTGCAGTGCCGGGGAGGTCCGGGCAGGCAGGCAAAGCTGTCAGGCACAGCTCTGCAGCAAGCTGGCAAGTGCTCCCTCGGGGATGGCGGGGGAGGGTCCCTGGCGGATGGCAGCACAGCGCTCAGCGCTCAGCACAGCGCAGCACGCACCCGGAACTTGAGCAGAGCAAACGGCTTGAAGGCGGCACGGATCTTGGCATCGATCTGGGTCCTGGTGGGGACGCGCCTAGCCGCCAGCAGGTTGCGCCTCCTGTCGCAGCTGGGGTCTGCAGGGGCCAGGCCGGGGAGCAGCGGGGGCCTTGGTGTGTAGGCGCGGGCGTGCTGTCAGGGCAGCAGGGGGAGGGCAACGGCTCTTCCATTTCCAAGGAAATGCAGCCCGTGAGGCCACGTGGCAGTTGACTGTGACTATCAGAGTAGCTACTAGGCTAGTAGCTACTCACAGGCGGCCGCAGCCACCAGCTGGTTGTATTCGGTCGAGTTGACGCCGAATGCGTTGTAGGCCATGGTAGCGCAATGGGCGCTGCGGTGGGGGCAGGAGGCGGGCGGGCGCAGAGGCGGCACATGAAGCGGAGAGCCAGCTGGGTGAGGTGCAGGCGCAGCGGCACATATACAGAGGCCAGCACGCCCCAGGCACAGCTGCGGCTGCCGCGGCGAGTTGAGCAGAGGGCCGGCAGTGCCAGGGGCGGCAACAAGCGTGCGCCTTGCAGGCACGCGCCGGGGCCGCCCCCACCTGGACAGCTTGGTGCAGGTGCTCTGGGAGTCGCTGTCCTTGTGCGACCCGCTGGAGTACATCCTGCGGTACAGCGGCATGGCAGGCGGGGCGAGGCTCAGCATGGCGGCAGGCCAAGCTGGCCAGGATGGCGCAGGGCGGGGTCAGCGCATGAATACAGGCCGCCGCAGGGGGGTTCGGCCTCCAAAGCTGGCTGCCCGCCCTGCTCAGGTGCTCAGGTGCCAGCTTAAGAGGCCCTCTCATGAGGGATGGTGCCAGCCGCTCATGTGTTTTGTGTTGGTGCATACTTTTCCAGCTGTTTGGCACCACAGCTGGGCCCGTAGCATTCATTTGCTCCTTATGGGTGTAACAGACAGACAGACAGACGCTGATCAGGTGCCAGCCGCGCACCTGCAGTAGTAGTAGTTTACCGTCTCCTTGTACACCACGTAGTCTGTGGTCTTGCTTTCCTTCTTGATCGTGGCATACACGCAGCCCTTGGCCATGCAGCACAACGGCTGGCACCTGAAAAAAAAATGTTATATTTTTTTTGGTTTTCTTTTGTTCTTTTTGTTCTTTTTGTTCAAACGACAGGCTAGGGATGGTGCACGGCAGGCAAGGGGCCAGCTACAGAACCTGCTGCCTGGAGCTCCAGGCACCCAGCAGGCCCTCGAGGCACCCAGCAGGCTGGCAGTGGCCAAGGCGCACGGGTGTCTCACCAGCTCATGCAGTCGCTCCCGCCCTCGCAGCCGTCGCCACCCGATCCGGCTGGGATCCCGATGATCTCGGTATCGCCTGCAAAGCATGTGGCAGGAGTGGATGGGTCGTGGGCACTGGGACGCTCAGCTGGGGGGAGGGTGGTCGGAGCCATGGAGAGGGTGCTCCATGCATGACCATATGGTCACCCCCTCTCTTGATGCCCCTTGATCACGTGTGCCCCCTGCCCAAGCTCTGCTCACGCGCC